AGCTAAATCTCCTGTTCATGAAACAATTACAGCAGCCAATGCAGTTCAAAGTAGATCTGGTTCGGTAACAGAACCCCATGAAAATATTACAGATGATGTTACTGATATGCAAAAATCCAAAGCATCTAGTAAATCTAATTCAATTTGTGATGAACCAGCTAWATCTCCTGTTCATGTTGAACAATATAATATTAAAGATTCATTTGGCCACGATAAGAATAAATCCTCAACATTTTCTTCAAGTAGTACAAGTTCAATTTGTCAAGATATAGATACTCAATCTTCAAAACTTTCAAGTAGAAAAAGTTCTGTTGTTGATGAATCGATTGATAATCTTTCAAAATTACAAATTGTAGAAAAGAGTTCTAGTCTTCAAGAGTCAAATGTTTATAAACATGAAAATGATAATAATTATAAGATACTCAACAAAYCTGGATCCTTGTGCGATGAAATGCTAAATTTGTCCATTAATAAGGTATCAGAAAAAATTATTTCAAATAAAACATATGAACAAGCATTCTCTCCAGAAACTACCGTTGGAAATACGGGATTTAATACAGCCAATAAAGCTGAATTGGTGTGCGAAGAATCTATTAAGTCTCATAATGATGAAGTTTGTACAAAAGAAAATTTAATTTCAAGTACTTCAAGTTCAATTCTCCATGAAACAGAAGAAGAAAACTGTCAAATACAAAGTAAGAGTTCTGAATTTGATGAACCACAGAATTTCCTAATTGAGGATACTAAAACTATTTTGTCACCTTCCGACTGTAATAAAARTAAGTCTAATTTTATTGAAAGAAAAACGGAAGAAACAAAGTCTTTAGGTAGAATTGGATCTTTGTGTGAAGAAATTGCGAAATTTTTAACTGATAACGATGGAAAAATATCGACTAATATTACATCTGAATTGCCATGTAATTTAATTGAATCCATTCCTATAAAAAGTAATGTAGAAGAATCAGAAGTTGAAACTGAAACGTTTTTACAACTTAATAATAACACTGATACGGTGAATAAGTTTAAAAAATCTTTACAACTTAATGATGTTGTTAWAGTTGATGAAACAAATGAGAAAATAAATGAGAAAAATACAGATCATAGTCTTCCTGTTGAAAATATCACTGTTTCTAATAATAAGTCCCCAAATATCTCAACAATGTTAATTGAAGAAAATAATAAGACTGGTACATTGAATGTTGCTCAAATGGTAGGGAAAAATGTCAGTGAACAATCTCTTGCTAAATATTCTATGATTATTGATAATGAATCCAAGAGTTTAAAAACTGTTTCTCCAATTTCTAATATTTCTTCAGAAGAATGTATTAGTAAATTATCAAACGTTTTAATTGAAGATGTAGTTAAAACATCTGATGATAAAAATATCATATGTGATTCATCGATAACAGACATATGTATGAATCAACCATTAGGTGTTACTTTGAATAGCGAAGATTTGGGCGTTACTAAAGATACAGTAATGCAATTAAAAAGAGATGTACATGAAGCATTGCATCAATGTAGTAGTGATGACGAGCGACCATTTACTCCACACAGCGAGTCTAGCATGTCTAGATCGGCAATGAATATTGATGATGACGACGATGATAATGAAGATAATAAAATTGAAACTGATGATGATATGCCTGGCTCTCCTATGTGTATTGGACCATCGCCCGTACAAATGCAACTCGATAATCGACATGTGGAAATTAATATGGATTTTAATAAAGCTATGCAGGAACATAGAATTACTAGAGGTGAAGATTTGACAAATACTGAAGCGAATGGTAACCATGTTACAGAAATAAAGACAACTGAACATGATAATATTAATCAAAACCAAGGTACGTCATCTGACACGGTTCAGAGTTGGGGTAAGCCATTAGGTTTACCACCAATTCAAAGCATTAATAATAATGGTTTTGATCCGATTCGCGAGTGGGGAAAACCATTAGGTCTTCCGTCGCCAACACAACCGGTCCTTGAACTCGCTGAACCTCAAAATACGAGCAGTAAGACAACACCCAAGAAGAACGTGAAAAAGWTAATAGACAACAAACCGATCATTAATGTCATGGGTAAGATTAATACAATTATTATATTTATTAAAAATTATTGGCTCTTAATTTAATATATTTGCAGTACTTTGAAACGGGTTAACTAKAAACCAATATTATAGCATTATGTTAATTTTACAGACAAAGACGCGCAAAATCGAATCCGACGATCGGAATCGCCGAGTAAACTCAGGAGTCGATCATCAAGTAGAATGTCGAGGATTAATCCTGTTTATCTGGATCTAATTTATGTGCCACATCATGGAAACTCAAAATATGTATCCGTTGACTTCTTTAAGCGTGTACGAGCAAGAAACTACGTTTTTAGCGGTACCGATCCTAGTAAAGAAGTATTAAATGCTTTAATCGAGGGAAAACAAACTTGGGAAGATCAAGATTTAGGTGAGTGTCATAAAGCTTATAAACATTTATTCTCTATGTTATGAAACGTGTTTTAATATAGAGGTCACCATAATACCAACTTATGATACTGATACACTCGGTCAGTGGGTGGCAGAAAATGAGGAATTGCTAACCAAGCTGAAGATCGATTTAAGTCCTAGCGCCAGCCGATGCACCATAAAATTACAAGATCATAACACCAGCTGCTCCGCATATAGACTAGAATTTTAATTAAATTATTATAGATAGATATTTATGCGAGTATTGACATAGTCTTCGTCCATCATATTATTAGAAATAAAATATATTGTTAAGCGTAATAACTGATAAAACTGTCTGTCCATTTTACTTCTTAATGAAATTTATGGATGCTATAAATTATTATTAGTGTATACAAGTACAACAAGTAAATTCGCTTCCGTTYTGAATTTTTATTTGCAGAGCGTGCGAATAAACATTGCACACTAAATTACAAGACTGGACAATCCATCCTGGATAGTTCTACTACTTTTATTTCTATTACATATGAATTTTTTTTAATAAATTATAGCTACTTTTTATTCATTCACATTTTTTTAGTAGTTATATCAGACGCTTCTATTTCACCTTCACCAACTTTAGTATTGTTCAATAATTTCTTTTCTTCGTTTTTCTTAAAATATTTAAAGTAAGATACGCAATGCATATGTTTAAATAGTTTTAACTTAAATATGAGCATATGAGCATTGGGTAGAGTAAAGATAAAGAAATTAGCAGATATTTTATTATAAATAGTTTATAAAAATTCACTTTGGGAATTGGAATAAACATGCCGAAAACGTTATGCTATGAAAATTTTTAATAATACATTTTTACGAACTGACTGTATGACAGGGTAATTGGAGAGACCGTTTAAAATTGGATATCAAAATTGCTAAATAACCTCTATCTATACCTAAAATGTTTTAGTTATTTAATTTTTAGTCCTACAAACAATCGTTTGATATTGGACAAACTATGTTAGATACCTAATATTTTTAAGAATCCTTTATTAAAACTGATTCAAACATTGAGTCCATGTTAATATTTTACTAAAAACCTGATGTAGATACCTAGGTATTTATTCATCATAAATATTTTATTCCGAATTATTGTTATTATAGGCTAAGTTGGCTAATTTGTTTGTCTGTTGTCATTATCTATCAGTATCTTCCAATGTATTAGACTAGCTTGAAAAACATATTAATTGAAAAGTTTTTTTTATGTTTGTCAGAATTAATATTATAATTATTTCCCATTATATTTGATAGTAAATACTCGTGGAAATGTGATATTTGTCCATGCATATATGCATAAAGAATAATATTAATAGTTAGGCACTGCGTTTTGCATTTCAATTTCTTCGGAGGTAAAGATGAATAATAATTTAACGATGCACCTTAATGAAAAACCTATCAATGACAATAACAATAAATTATAGTTGAGAAACCATACTATAACCAGTGATAGATRTTAGTTTGATTTTAATTACTGTTCATCGAGCTTATGATTTATTTTTGGGTACCATCGTGAATTAGAATTGCCATATTTAATATTAATATATACAACTAAAACGCGTTTACGCGAATTTCTGTCCAAAACATTTCTACTTCGTTACGTCCAATATRTCCATCCTCTCTCTTCCACACACAGTAACAATATTATTTAAAATTAATTTTACCCTATTTTATTTTGTTTATTGCTGTATTGTTAAAATTATCAGTGAAAATTAKTTATGAAATATTATAACTTATAAGTATTAAATATAGTTTGTATGATGAGTCTATATTGTATTTTACAGTATGGCACACGTGTAACAGGTGAATTAAACACTAGACAATTACAATATCTTTATTCTAACTAGATTTTATCCAACCAGCATTGTCTACTTGCTGATATCCATGGCTTAGTGGTTCTTACATAAAAAGACATAATTTTACACATACCTATRTTATACTTATTAATTTATTATCCACATTCATAGCTCGTCGATCTACTTTGAAGGCTTGGTATGATTATTATTTAGGATTCGTGAAAGCTATTTACGAGTCATTTTTTAAATGGTGCTATGTTCCGTCAAGGAAAAAGTTACTCTGATAACTTAAGAAAAAACGTGATTTATGTATTTTAGTTTTTAACAATGTTAGTATCATTATACATTAATCTTTTATACGGATAGTTAATTGTATTGAATTATCATAACAATATAATATTAATTAATTGAAGTGTGTTTTACAGATGAACTCGTCGCATTAGGTTTATTACTATGTACTATGTAGCTTAAGGTTATAACTTATAGATTATTTTTTAATTGTATTTTATATTTTTATCTTTAGTTAAATGAAAAAAAAAAGTTATTAATATTTTTAAAAATTACGCAGTCTGCACGATCTACTAACATGATACCTATACGAATCGATTTTTTGCATTTGCATATATTTAAAACAATAATTTGTTGTGTTATTAATAAGTCTAAATTATTTGTTATAACATATAATATATACCTACCGTATATTACTTAGCTATTTACAAGTTTATATAAATGTTATCTAAACGTTAATACAAGTGAAGTACACAATTAAAAAAAAATAATATATATACTTGTTTTCATTTTGCAAGTAGATAGGCAAATAAAAAGCTTGTGATAATACAGATTTTTTTTTAATTTTAATACGTTATATTGTATTATTTCTTTTATTTTATATATTTTTTCTTACATATTATGTGAAATGTATCAATGCTATTCAAAGAAAATGCTTCCGTTGTTCTTATATCAGCCTTACAGATTTTCTCTTTTTTTTACTAATTTATTATTATATACCATTTATATTATCATCATATTAATACATTATTATTATTATTATTATTGATTGTATTCGTGTTTAAATATAAAATAATTAACTTTCCAGTTCTTAAAATACGCAAATGATAATATTGTATAAGGGTTAGTCTGTTAGAATCTGAAATTTTAAAAATAAATGTTTGATTTTAGAAACAATAAATTGATTTTTTTTTATAGATATCAGTAAAAACAAAAATGTTCTTTCTCAATATCTCAATAATAAGCCTATAGAATAAATTGTCCCAATGTAATATAATTTATAATATTTTACTTAATTTGTGTAATTATACTATAATGTGCGTCTCGAAAAAAAATTTCAAATTTTTGGCGAATCCCGAGTGCGTCCTATAGTTCATCGGTACTACTGACTACTAGTACTAGATACACGGGATTACTGTTCAAGTGGTATTTGAGTGATATAAAATGGTCAGACATGGGTAAAATAATTTTTAATGCTCAAAGATTTATGAAAAATTAATTTTATTCGAATACTCCATAAAGGTATTCTGATTAAAGTATTCCAAATACTTTTAAAATATTTTTTGTTTAAGATATTAAAAAAATTATATTTATTGTCGGGAATATTTGCAATTATTATAGCCATTAGAGTACCTATTAGACAATATTAAAATATCAAAATAAACCAAATATTTTACTAACACACCGATCTTTAGCCCACCATCTTGTTTCACCAATCACTGATATAAATTTAAATTTACTGGTTGTCTTCCACTTGATACACTTGATAGGTATACTTTGTGAGTAAGATTCACGAACAAAAACAGTTATAGCATTCAATAAAATTAAAAAAAGATACACTTTCTATGCATTTTTTCGTCATATCAGACAAAACCAAATTAAACACATGTGCGTTGTTCAGGTACTTTTTTTTACAACCATGCAGAGAACCCATTATATTCGCCTCGCATATTTGAAGCGCCATCCGTAGTATAGCAATCGGCGCATATTATGTATCATAATAATCTTTCAGCCCACCGCGCAGTAGCTCGTCGGCCCAATCCGGCCCTGGTCATATACGACCGTACCACATATAATAATTTTACTACGTGATGAGGTTGAATGTCTGATCGATATAATAGGCATGTGTAATGGGTATCATAAAATAATAATCAGGGYCCTCACCAATCACCCTTTCAGCTTTCTATTTATAATATAGTAGTTGCTTATAATAACACAGTCTTATCTAACTTCATCATCCAAAAGACAATTACAAATATGAAACAATGAACAATTTAAATTTTAAGTTGGATGAAATTTATTATATGACTTATTATCAGTGTACTGAACTACTGACAATGGTAGGTACATTAATTTTCTAAACCATATTGTTTACGGTTATTGTAAAATATAATAACAAAGTAATGGGAATAATATATACATATAACAAAGTACACGTCAAAATTCAAAGTACCGTTTTTACTTTTTTTTTAAACAAAAGCAAAGTGTGCTGGATCAACTGGAGCGTGATAATCGTTGGGGTTGCTCATTCGACTTGTGAACCGGCTGTCCTTTCTGAATAGATGCGCCAAAGGCTTGTGAATGGGTTGCTTAGCTTTATCGTACTCGTACCGATTAACCGGCACGGACATACCGTTTGTGTTGTACAATGGATACTTGGCGCATAACTGCAAATACGAACACCAATAATTATACTTCTTATTCAGTTATGGATGTACTTATAATTGTTTAAGTAAGACATTTGAGGCTTTTGTACAGTTAAGGTATAGATTACAAAACATTATTCATCATTTAATATTTATTGCACAATATTTTTTGATAGTTTATAAGTTATCTGTGTTCTTTTAACGCTGGCTTTCTTTAGATATTTAAATTTATGTGTGAGTTATATAATAATAGGTATGTAATACATAGGTACGAATAGGGTGGGGCTTGGGGAGGCTAAACCTCCCTAATGTGAATTCAGCCCCATTGAAATTATTATGGTATATTAATGTAATTTTTGTAAAGAAAAATTAAAATATGAATAGTAGGATTGAAGCCCCCCCCCCCATTGAAATCTTCTAATTACGCCTAAATATATAAAATGTTTTAATTTAAAAAAATATATATATCTCGCTTTAAAATTTAAATATTATAAAAGAAGTCAATGTGAGAAAACAGATAATGTCCTAACTTTCCGTTTAATTATTGGTCATACTTAAGTATAATACTAAAGATACGAAACTACACAACATTGGTAAGACGAAAGTTTGGTATGCTGCGCGTGGGCTGTAGAGAGAAAACAAATAGTGAGCTGACAACTTCTTAATGAGTTAATAGAAAAGATTAAGTTAGCTAAATATTTGAAAATTAAGATGAAGTGTTGTAATAATTTAACTAGTTAAAATTGTATTTTATTATTTCATCAAGTTTCCACTTAATTGTTTAATTATTTATTATGTATGTTAGTATTGATTTATTTTTTAAAATAAGTTATTAAACTTCAAAAGGTACACTACATAAATTTAATGTAATATATATACATAACAAAGGACTACTATAAAATTTAAAAGCTGAAATTTGTTGAAGGGAAAAATGAAAATATACATACATAATATATATTCGTTAACTGGAAAAAAAAAAGGTATGATCGATTTTGGCGGAAAAGTGGAACACTCCATATACCTATATAGGATATAGCTCCACGTTTATCTTATTTATTTGATAATCGCTAGTTATCATAGATGTTTTAGGCATGGCTATGTAATATTGACAAGGCCATTAGAGCTTAGAGTGTCCAGAAGTCTAGATGTTTTAAAAATCTTACCAGGATTTCAATATGTCTGATAAATATAATTCGTCATTATAAATTTATATTGAAATTCATTCGATGGTTTTACACTTTTGTAGTATCTTTCATTTTCGTCATACTTATTTATTTAACACGGAGATTTTGAGTGTATTTTAAAATATTAAATAAGTAAAAAAGCCTATTTATTTTATAAATTTTATTCAGTTCAAATTAAAATATTATTAACAGTTATAAAATATTTGTTTGATTTATTGTTATGTAGTTTCTAAATTGTTAATCATTTATATATATATATTTATTGTTCTATTGATGTAATAAAAATTTAAGAATTATATTGAGACCTAAACTGCTTCAGCAACACCTTAAACATTTTTTAAATTATTGATATATATATGATTATTATTTACAAAGATTCAATTAAAAGATGTTTTAGCACTAACACATTTAGATTTTTATAGAAAACAACTGAGTGGTTTTAATAATTTGTAAAAAAAATTATGCATCTACATACTTCTTCGTCCAGTTGTTCTCCTATTTCTTTTGGTTTGAACCCTTTGATTTTAAATGTATTATTGTATGTTGTTTCAAATTGTCTGTTTTGATCATAAAGGGACTTTGATTTAGCTGCCAAATCATTCATGACTTTTTCAGTCATTGTTTTCCACAAATATTCTTCAAATTCTTTCTTTTTTCTCTCTTAAAACAAACAATTTATAAGATTGATTTTTTCTATACACACATCGCGTTATTAATTGATTGTTCTGTTTAAAATTGTTATCGATATTAATTTTGTGAATTCAAATTATTTCACACCTTTAAATTTTTTTTGCAATTCATAAAAATTATACTGAGACACACAACTATAACGTGGTTACATGATAATAAGAATATAATATCAATATATATATAGAACAAAACTTATTGTAATCTCATGTATAAGTGTATAACATATTATATATAACACCATCAAAACAATACTATTTCCATTATTTTATTTCAATATTACCTGTCATTCTTATCAGGCATATCGCATTAAATTAAAATAAGTTGCACTCAACCACTAACCAGTACCATTGGCCTTTAAATATCATATTATATGTGATTTCAGTACCAATTCGTCAAATAACGAAATAAGAKAGATAAAAATGTAAATAAATGAAAAAAAAATGCATATAGGTACATAACAAAAGAATAAATTTAATATAATATAAAATTAGAACCGACAAGGTGACAAACAATATAATTCATCAAAAAAAGTTAAAAAAATTAGATATCTTCAATTATAAATTAATTAGTTGAGTGGAGTGGTACGCGGTTGCCTCGTAAAATATAGGTCCACTATTCAGCTTATCTACCTACACTTAAAAGTTTAAATATTAAATAGATTTATTTTTAACTACTATTCCTAAAATGGATAAATAATATTTAAAAATATAATATTTTTAAAAGAAAACGGTGTTTTGAAAATATGTTTTTTAAAACATTAATACTTTTTGAAAAAATGAGTAGTTTATAAAAAAAATCACCTGGTCGTACATTATCATATTATTACATATTATGTAATTTACAAATACTAAATATTAATTTATTTTACCGCTTACACGTGCTTGATAGTAGTAGGGGTTGTGTTGGCGGCTTGTTCCTTTTAGAACTATATTCGAATGGGTCATCGACCTCCCTGCTACACAAAATGTGTTTTTACGTATTTCTGCGCTGTATATTACCTACAAAAGCTACACTATATGTCCGCAATATGTACCCCCCCCCACCCCCACTACCACAAAAAAAAACAAAATTTTTAAATTGTATATGGAATCAAAACTCTTCATAAATATTTTAGTTAATAATGTTACCCCTCCCTTTAATTTCCGTACATGTGAGGCATAAAATATGGTATTATTAGTTTATCGTTGATCATAGTCGATGGTTTTTAGGATTGTAGGAATATTTTACACTTTTACAAACAAGAAACAACTGAAAATGATTTTCCAAAAATGTCAACTACCTTCGGTCCAACTACCTTTGTAATAGGCCTAAATTTCGATGGTTCTTTAAAAAAAGTTTTTATTAAAATAGGCTACCTCAGAAAAAAGACTAAAATACTTATTGAGTACATATTATCGAATAATGAAGGGAATTACTAAAAAATTTAATATATTTCTGCCTATTCTATATACCATCCCAGGTTTAGTAAACTCAAGTCATCTCAATTCCAGGTGTCTTCCACGGCCGACGATCGTCAATAAAAATATCCACTTAAAATGTGATTTCGATATCGGCTTTACATAATATGCAGGTACATATACCTAATGAGATTTACGGTGAAATTATCATAATAAGTAATAATAACCTTTATCATTTAGTGGTTTTTCATCGACTGTCTTAGGTAGCCCGTAAGTCTCRTGCGTARTCGACTGCCGGGCACGCTCATTTTCGCCTCCTGGCATCTCGAACGTCTGCCGCCGGCTACTGTTCTTGTGCGGTCTGAGRACCGTTTCCTTATCGATAGACATTTTATAGGTACAACAGTTGTACTTTGTTGTATAATATTATCAGATACTTAAATTGGAATCAAAAATACCATCTACCTATAAATGGTGAGGTGGCAGAAACAATCGTAACACTGTAAGAGTATATGGTATAGGTAATTTAGTAATATTATTGTACAATAAAATAATTGTTTGTATTTTAATAGGTACCATCTACATTCTCCTACACGGTAAATACTAAATTATTTACCTTTATGGTTGGATTATAAACAAACGAATTAACGAAAATCTCGTCTCCGTCRCCACGGGTACCAAGCGCCACCGCCGTCACTGGTATAGCCATAGAACAGTATAGCACAACTTGAGTGGTATACAACTTTACTGGTATCGATCATACGCTCTCGCTGGTTTAGGAACCACTGGCGGACCGTAAATACCGTCGCGCACTCGCGTACTGGAATGAGGTTAGGATTAATAAACGTCCGTAAAAAACATACGACCAACCACTATTAGTCGCCTCTCGTCAAAACACTCAAAACTATGGTCTGTGCTCTGCTCACTAATCAGTAATCAGTTATAGCCACTGCCATCGACGACAACACAAGTACACGACGCGAACATTGAACGCCGCATTACAATAATATTATATAATTCATACCACTACTTCTGCCAACTAATATTAATAATTAAGTATTTTATCGATATTCGATAACCGTCGGCGCGAGTTGTCGTGTAATCATTGCTGCTGCTTGCGGAGTTATTTAGTATTTACAATTTACACACGACACTACGACAGAGTCGTCTTGAAAACGTGCGTGGTGCTCGAGTTCTGTGTGGGTGTGCGAAAGTGTGCGATGACGATCTGTTCACGAATATTCTGTTGATCACGCCTTGTTGGATAATAACCGACCAGCCAGGTACCCCCCTAATATTTTCTATATTACCAGCCACGATCCCTCAATCCGTATCCGTAAATAAGTAGCCGGTTTTTCGGGGGGTGGGGTCGTTTTTCCGATATTTTATTTCTGGTGTTCACAATCCGTCAAGGGGTGCACTCATTAGAGAACGTTCAGTTCTGTAAATTTAGTGTAGAAACTTGCGTTTATTTTGGTTTGTCAAATCAATCATTCATCGCATGTCCTAGCCTTCGATCAATGATGTAGTATGAACAATTGATTCCTAGATGAACAATTCCTTTATTTTGGTGTAATTATTTTTTTGAGAAAAATACAAGTGACACAACTTTATTAACATATGTTTCTTATCTTTGGACAACAATTGTTTCATAGATTCACAATATCKGCTACAGAGTTTAATCTTAGTAACGTCCAAGGTTCAACTATTCAATTATTATTTACCTAAAAAATACTCAAATTTTGTTATTAAATGTAGGTGGATTGTTAGTTATTAGTTTATTACTGATAGCACCATCATCATATGATTCAATTGATACTGGAGCTTGTGTTATGAATGACTCAACACGATTTTACTGTTTCTGTCCGCAAGTCAACAAAAATTTCAAATGTTCAAAATCCAGTTTTACCTATTTAGAATTTTATGAGATACATGTCAATAATTAATTCCAAACTAAAATTTTTAAGCATATTTGTTTCAATTGTAATTTTTTGTTAGGTTTTAGTTATTTTATCATTATAATAGATATCTAGGTATCTGTTAAATAATAATGTTTTTTTTTTCTGTGCATGTTGTCATATATGATACAAATTGCAATAGATTTGTAGATCAAAACTTATTATATTTTCAGATTAATATTGTTAACTGTACAATATCAAAATGGAAATTGAACAGTTGGTTTATGAAACACTCCTGCAGGCTAGTAGTCAACATCCTGATATGTTAAAACCTGCTGAACAAAAACTTAAAGAATGGGAAGTGGAACCAGGATTTTATTCAGTGTTATTTGTAAGATATGATTTTTCTATGAMTTAAATTAATTTGACTTTTCGTAATAGTTATAAGTACCTACATATAGAGTGTATATTTATTGATTTTCAGAGAATATTTTCAAATCAATCATTGGATTTAAATGTACGGTGGATGTCTATTCTATATTTTAAACAAGGTGTAGAAAAATATTKGAGAAAAAACATTCAACAGTATGTACTTATTATACAGCATTAAGTTAATCATTTATTAAAATCATTTATTTCCTTTATAGTGGCATTTCCGAAGAAGAAAAAGTTACTCTAAGAAAAATGTTACTAACAAATTTATCAGAACCTGTTCCTCGACTTGCTACTCAAGTCAGTGTGATTATTGGCAGAGTTGCAAGGTAATTTTTTTCGCAGTGGCTATTTTCACGTCCGACTTGAAACTATGTATTTTCACGTCCTGTCCTCTGATATTGTCCCCTGTCCCCAAAAATCAGCTGCTGGGAAGGTCTCGTGATTGGATGTAATATTAATACTGAGAGTATAACTGATATCAACTGCCATAAATGATAAGTGCCATATTTTAAAAGTATATTATAGATATAATATAATAATATAACAACATTTTCCGCATAAATTTAAATATTTAAATAATATAATTATTATATACTTATTTGTATAAGAGCAGTATGATATAGATTTGTATAGTACGAAAATCTTTTTTTTTGTATTAAAACGAATCAATATAAAATTATTTGAAATGGTAATATATATAGCAATTATGAATTAAAAATGGAATTACCAGTGACATTTTATTGATGTTTTGATGATTATAGTTATATGACTTTTANGAATTAAAAATGGAATTACCAGTGACATTTTATTGATGTTTTGATGATTATAGTTATATGACTTTTAGACTGTAGTATACATTGACTACACAACTGACAACTGACTTAGTCATAAWTTKTATTATTTTATYACACAATTGACATATTTATTATATACATTTTTTTAATTCCACAAAATGGACAACTATGTAAATGCTGAAAATCAAGTAAGACTGTCTATGAATTTGTTTATTTATATAAAGTTAATATTATTTAAATGTATGCGAGAAATGTTATATTATTATATTTTAGATATAATATACTTTTAAAATATGGCACTTATCATTTATGGTAGTTGATATCAGTGTTATACTATCAGTATTAATATTACGACTAATCAGGGAACAGGACGTGAAAATACATAGTTTCACGTCGGACGTGAAAATAGCCACTGCAAATTTTTTTATATATATTTTAATACTTAAGTAATAAAAAATTAAAGGTGTTAGGTAGTACATTCATTCAAGAAGGAGAATAAATCTTGCTAATAATAATTATTTAAATCTTTTATCTTAATGTTATTATGATATATGATTATACCGTTTATTATTATTTAAATAAAATGTTTTTAGTAGTTTTGAATATAATTTAAAATAGACATCATTCAGAACTTTTATATAGTAATTGAACTTTCAAAAATGAATTCTTTCCATTCCTTGAACATTTTTTTAAATAGAATTAACACCATATCATGTTGATACTGTATAAGCATTCATCCGTTTTAAAAAAAATCTTGACAATTTTTAGATAAATTAATGTGTATATCTGATTAAAATAGTTTTAAAGATYTAATAATATATAATTTTCACCATTTAATGCGAATTGCAAAGATAAGTAATTATCTGTGAAAATTAGGGAAAGTTTTTTATTTAAAAGTTATAGCATTTTTAATGTACCTATCAAATTCTTTATGGGMGTCTGAAGTTGACTATTTTTTTTTTATTTGAGTTATGCATCTAGGAGCTAAAAATGTGCAATAAATTGTTAATATTTTATTTTTGCATAAGTAATTTTAAAAATATAAAGAATTGGCAGCTACATGAAGCTATTTATAACATATAAACTAAACACTAATATAATGTACCTAATTTATTAGTAACTAGCAGTTTTCAAGCAATGTAAGGAAAACAAATTTTAAGTTGGAAAATTGATTGGTCTACCCCTCCCCCTCTCACTAATGAATTGTTGTTCTAGGCAGCTTTTATAGATATGTAAAGTTGATCGTAAAATGTTATCTTTTACAATTTTCAGGTTGGATTGGCCATATGATTGGGGAGATTTAATGCCAGAACTTATAGAACGTATTAAATATGATCCACAAAATCGTGCATTGTTATCTATGCATCATGTGGTCAAATCATTGGCAGGCAAACGATTGTATGATAGTATAAGAATTTTCCAAGATGCTTCCTGCCAACTATTTCCAAATTTTTATAGTCATTGGGAACAAAGAACTGATGCTTTCATCAAAGAGGTAAATTCTATAAATAAATTAATACATTATTACAAATTTTATAATATTGTATTACAAATTTAATTTAATGTTTTTTTACATACAGATGGAACATGGAAATGCATCACCTCCAGTGGCTAAACTTTTGGAAGATGCATTTTATACCCAAAAGATTTTGTCCAACTTTGTGTTATATGGTTTTAAATCTCCTTATCCAAGTGATGTCAAACAATTTATTTTGGCTATTTTCAATAAAGTTCGGCATATTATTGCTTGTCGTAAGTTAATTTAAACTTAGAAATGAAATTATTGAATTAAAATTGTAAATTATTTTATTATTTTTAGGTGCTTATTATCCTGATTTAGTTGAAAAATTTGTATGCCGTATGTTTAAAATGCTAATGGCAATCTTAGAAGATCATCCAGCTGAATATCTGGATTTCATTCAACCAACTGTTGAACTAGCTTATTTCTATGGTTTTACTGCCGATGGAAATTCTGTTGTATTTGAGAGATTCTTAATACAACTTTTTAACTTAACCAAATTAATATTAATTTGTCCTCAATATAAATTACCACGTACAAATGGTCCTATTTGTCAAATAGATGGTAAGCTATTTTAAAAAATAATAGTGATCATTGAATCATAAACTTAAAAATAAAATAAAATTATAAATATATCTCTTAAATAACAATATCAAATATGCTATTWTAAAACATTAAAAGTTTAATTTAAATAATGCCATATTGCTATATCAATATTTTATATCATAACTTATTCAATCAAGTATAATTTTGTGACATTAGTTTTGGTATAGAATACTTAATATAGTATAGTTTAATACTGTTTTAGAAAATGCAAAACGAGTATCAGCTTTAGCAGTACAACATAAAGCTTCTGTATTTAAATCTGACAGATTAATGATTATGTGTCAACAATTAATATATAAATATTTTTTACTAACACCAGCTGAGTTAGAAACATGGGATAGTGATCCTGAAATGTTTGGTAAGAAGTTAATTATAAGTTATAACCATTAATTAATTTATTACCATTTTTAATTAAATTATAATTATTTATTTATTATTACAGCTACTGATGAAGTAGGAGAATATTGGAAGTACAATTTAAAAGTAAATATTTTTTTGGATA